CACTGATGATCAAACCTACAAGAATAAGATCAAAAATTGTAATAAACTGGAATTACCCTTGAGAGAGCTCAAATTCTTTTAAGAATCCGCTGTAGTGAATTCACTGAGAGAAGAAGGGAAAGGAAAAAACAAAGACAGGAAGTAAATTACCTAACAGGTGCAAGGAAGTAATTTCAAAGTAAAACAGGAAATAAGAGTCAAATTCCAATTCATTCAAGGGGCAAATGGTGACTGCAAAGTAGTCCTCCATTAGCATGATCTTTCTGAAGTCAGTCGATGTAATGGTCCGAAGCTTTCAGGAGGATTCCCGCCATTACAGAGGACAATTTCCATTAGCTGTCCCTGCTAAAGCTGATCCATATCTAAATAAATGAGTGAAAACAGGGTGGAAGCGTAGTGCTCTCCTTCCTATTCTTGTACTGCATTAGCTCACCATGTCACTGATTTCCCCATACGAGCTCATGTACCATTGGTCAGTGGTCATGAGGATGATGCACTCTTCCTAATGCACAGAAAGAAAAGGGATCATTACTGGGTGTGGGCCAGGGCAGGACAGAGAGAGTGGAGGCTCAGGAAAAGAAATAAGAGAAAGAGACAGGCGGGTAGCAGATCCATAGAGCTTCAGTGACAGAAATCAAGGAATTTATATCTCTCCAGTGTCATTTGTATATAATTATATTATCCCAGTCTCCAACGTGGAAAGTAAAAATGATGCCTATCTCGTCATGGAGACAGAAACAAACAGAGATCACCCGATGTCTCATAGGAAGCCATAGCCAGTAGAGTTGATTTCTCTCTTGTAGGGCTGTAGTTTTAAAGTATGAAAATTAAACATATAGCATTCAGCTTCATTTGAATGCAAACTATGATGCCTAATCCCATAGTACATTGTACAATGGACGTTGTTTGCAGTTCCTCTGCTGCTTCACTTGAGTGAGAAGCTTAGAGTTTAGGCTGGTTCAGGACCTCTGAATAATAATAATCTCCTGATTTGTTCACTGATTAGAAGAGAAACAAAACTGAAACTCAGTCTGATTATCAGGCTGACCGGTTACTCAGTTGTGTTTTTACAAGGCAGCAAAGGGCTTCACATTAATTCTATGGTTTCATATTCAAAATAGTTTTCTGCAGCTTGTGCTAACGAAAAGATCAGATTAGCCTGTTGCACTCACACACTGTGCATTTTGAATTCATAATTATGTTTTTTTCCATATTCACGAGTAGCTTGAATGTCAAACAAAAGGTAACAAACACCCTTACCCTCTGGACAGAGTTAACTAACCCAACCTTCTCTGAAAGCATCATTCATTTAACAAAAAGAACAGATGTCTCCAGGGAAATTATACCAAAAGTGGAGTCATTACATTTTCATCCAATCAATAGTGTTTCAAGGTTATTTGTGTGTGTGTGTGTGTGCGTGTGGAGGTGAATCACAAATATATTTTGCCCTCCTGCAAATCTCAGAGATTCAGTTGACACCACAGTTAATAGCAAAATACTGTTGTGGGTGGTAGGTTCGCCTCATCATCTTCATCAACATAACTGAGACTTCGTGGTTTAAGGTTCATAAGACAGGTGGAACCCCAGTTCTTGCAGTTAAAATCCGTTAGTAGCAGATGGAGCAGTTGGGTGACCTTGTGGTTAGAAAGGGTGTAACTGAAAAGGCACATAACAGTCATAGTTCAATCAGGAGAGATTTAATTCTGAGTCAACGGATAAACCTTTACCAACGCGCAAAACAAGAGTAGCAAAGTTGTGAGAGTTCCCCCACCCCCATTTTGACTAGTGGGGGGAGAGAGCGAGAGAGAATTGTGAATGAATGAATGAGGCAAAAAGATAGTCTAGGCACAAGTGTGTTGTCAGTTCTGATGCAGAGATAGTCTTATACTAAATCTAATGACGATGTAATGCCGGATTTGACAGTTCAAGGTTTTTCCCTTCAAAATAAAATAAAAAAAATCCCATCTGCGAATTTCAGAGCTAATTGTTAACATGACTGCATCTAGCATCTTAAAATGTTTACTTTTTAGTTCAGATTGTGTGTGTGAGAGGCAAATTAATGTAATTTCGTGACGCCCCACCCCCACCCCCACCCTCTTGTATGATGATGTCTTACAAGGACTGTGACTAAATAACCTGCAGTAGTTGAATAGTCACTCACACACCTTCATGCATGTTCATTGAGATATTTAACCTGTGATCTGCATGTTTTACTCCAACCTGAGCATGTGTGTCATTGTAAATACACACACACACACACACACACACACACACACACACACACACCGTACACGAACACACACACTTAATGAGATTCGACCCTGCATCCTTACCTCAGCATGTGTGTCACACTTCATCTTCTCTCCTGTTCACTCACATACACACACACACACACACACACACACACACACACACACACACACATACACACACACACACACACACACACACACACACACGCAGAGGACATGCTAATGAGATTCAGGAGCACAGCTAGACTTGTAGATCAGAGGGATGGGTCACTCAGTCTGACTCATAATTGAATAGATTCTTAATCTTTCCCACTGACAGAGCAGAGATAAAGGAAACAGAAAAAAAGCAGGAAGCATGGAGAGATAGAGTTGGGAGGGAGGAATGATAACACATAATTGATTTTTTTGTATATAGTAAACACACACTTAATGAACTCGGCAGAGAATGAGAGGGAGAGACATCTGTAGGAGGATTGAGCAGGGTAAACAAATCCTCCATGAACGCAGATAAGCCTTCTGGAGAGACACAGAGACTTCAGTTCCTTAATGTCTCGCTGAACACACACATCAGGGGTAACTACTCTCACCTAACCCTGTCAGTGGGTAATGTATTCCTCTGTGGAAAGCATTATGGCACACACACACGAACACACGAGATGGACTGCCCTGAGTTATTCATGCTGCTGTGAGAAGCTTTCGCTCTTTCCTTTTTTCTCCCTCCCTTCCTCTCTTACACACACATATCAACACACACACATACACGCAGATACATACCCCAAAGTCTAATTACAAGCATTTCCGACAGTGTGGTCCATCATCATCCTTCACCTACCACTCCCATCCATCTCCTCTTCTTATCTTCCACTCCCTCTCCTGGTCTTTCTCTCTCTGATTTATACTTTCTTCCCTTCCTCTCTGTGCACACCAACTTCCACAATCCCTCCCTCACTCTGTCTCCTGCTCTCTCCGTTCCTATTCCCCAGACAGACATTATAGGAGGGAATGGCTATTGATTTGCCTCAACGTTTTTCCTCCATCTTTGTCCATCTCAAGGATTTTACTTTTATCACCCCATTATCATTTACATAAAGCTGATCTCTCTCTCTCTCTTCCTTTTCTCCTAATTGACTCTACATGTCTTTGTGACATCCCTTACCTCAGCTTTTACTGTTGTCCCCCTCTTTCTATTTATTTTTGGGTTAATGTGAATTGATCTAGGCAATCTCTTCCTTCATTGACTTCCTTTAGTTTTTCCCTTCCCTCCCTTCTCTGCCGTCACGCTGTATATTCTCAGGATCACAGCAGTGCTGATACTGGTCTACAGACGGATACAGGTCTTTTTATAGTACTGATCCCAAATGTCAAAGAATTTCCACCAGTTCTTTAATCCATATTACTGAAAGAGCAAGAGCTATGTGACGTGATGACACTACAGCAGCTTTTTTGACACAAAAAAGGAGAACTTGTATAGCAAAAGTGCCATTAGGATATGTTTTGTTAGCCTCTTAATCTTCTCTCGTTCTCTCTCAGCCTTCATCCTTCTCATCTTCATCCAGCAGGGATAAGACCACAAACGTCCATCAGCAAAAAAAAGTAGCAAACATAATTCTTTTCCCTCAGATGAAGTACTTATTTCTAGATGAAGCACTTTTGGAAACTTTGGCCCAAATATAGCTTCTGTACTGTAGCTGCCTCTGACAGATGAAAAGAAGCAATGACATATTTTATTCTAGGAATTTAAAGTTTCTCATTTTCTCCCTAGAAGTTCCTGCCTGTGGAAGTTTAAATACTTTGCCTATTCTCCGTCCATCTTCTCTGCTTTTTCTTCCGCCTTTCTGTCAGCCTCCTGATCCTCTCCTCTCCCTTTAGTCCCATTAGCTATCTCCTGATGGGTCATTAACTATTAAACACCAGATAGAGGGAAAAGGAGAAGAGGGGCGTTCTATAAGGTTTGTGTCTAGTGTGCATGGTAAATGGACACTAGTGATGAGAACAGGAGAGGAGGGTGGGGCAGGTCCACAGGGTCTTATTTTCTGCTCTGTAATGATAAGTGGAAATCAGTGGGAAAACAGAGGAGGGCAGGGTCAGTTCATTCTGTTCTCTGGGATAAAGTATTGGCACAGAAAACTGGAGGAGATCGACAGAGATTTAAATTAAATTACTAAAATAAACCAAAGCAGAGCAACAGTCAGACGGCTTCTCCTGTGAGTGACATAACATCCGAAATGCAGTCATGCTTTTTTCCTGCGGGAAATCAGCGCCAGGTCGTCCCATCCAGACAAGCTTCAGGAGGTTTTTGGATGATATAGAGACACTGAAGCCTTCAGATGTCAACAGGTTCAAAGAGCCTTTAGTCACTGAGGCCATACTGTCTATTGAGTGTTTGAATGTTGCTTCCATCTAGTGGTCAAAGAGGGAAATTGTTGAAAAGTTCATTTTCCCCAGGAATGTACTTAAGCAACCGAGATCTGTCTGAAATATAGAATTGTAGACATGTTAAACTTTACCTAAATTAATTTGTTTAAATGTTAAAACAGTACCTAACCGCCAATATTAATGGATTAATGGAGTAGGAGTGCTGGTTTGTCTTGATTGTTTTACAGTAAGACAGCAATATTAGAGTAAGAAATGGATTATTTGGATCATGGGAACATAAAAGCTCATCTGTGACGAATTCTGTAAGTCTCGTCTAAGTCAGTCTGGTTTTCCTGTATCCAGATATTATTGCCTCCATGTGTCTGTCTGTAGAGTGTCTGATGTTGGGGACGGAGGTCGACCTGCAGCGGGTGGAAAACAGTGTGGCTGCCATGGAAACGGTGTTAAAGGCATGGCTTCAAGAGCAGGGAGGAGACAGAGAGCACCTCCACCTGCTGCTGCCGAGCCCCACAGACAGTCTCATTCCAGGTTAAATATGGCACTCACACACACACACACACACACACACACACACACTCGTGAATCCATTACTTCATTATTTCATTAGCACCATGTATAAATGTAATTTCAGCGGATGACAAAGCTACTGCAAGCATGGACCAATATACACAGTCACATATCCACTTGCACACAGCACTCCGTGACTGGAGAGAAGTTTTGAGCCTCGTGCTATGAGAACTTATAATTTACTTATACACAGTTTTAATATGATTCTATAGGTGAGCAAAGAATATCAAAATCATACTGATGATTTGGGAAATCAGTGAGTTATTGGAAAAAGGTAAGACAGTGACTAAAGAAGTCTTCTATGTATAATATATCTGATACTTATGATACTTGTCCCCTGTGTAGTGTGTGTGAAGTGTGACATGCAGGAGCGTCTAATAAGCCCCGCCCTCCTTCCCCTGACCCCTAACCTGGGAGTGAAGACTGAGAGCGCCCTGGACTTCCTGCCTGTCACTAAGGTCTCAGCCAATCAGAGCCCAGCACCACAGAGACTGAAAGTGATCAAGTAAGACAGTGGGCTGCAGAGGTGCAGCTTCTTACTGTATTCAGACACCCAACTTTTATTATTTTCAACTGACCATCTAATGAAGCTTTGCTAAAATTTAATACAATGTTTAATGCAATACTAGTGTTGTAATTTACATTTTTCTCATTCTTTGTTTTTTCACTTAACTACTCAATTAAGTGACTTAATTCAAAGACTGTGAGGCCAGGAAATGTGTCACTTAGTGAATAAATAATATGAAACTTTATACTTTTTCACATCCTTTGCATATGTTAAAATGAAATCATAATGTAACCATACATATAGCTGGTGGGTATTTTATGGTTTTTGATAAATGGCTCTTGGTTAAATAACTATCCATCCTTCCTTGTTTTACTAGATTATTGGAGGAAGGGAGGATGCGTGTGTGTGTGAAACCCTGTCTGTCAATGAATGGTGCCATTCTGATAGCAGCAAGTAGTGAAATATTTCTCAGATGAAACTCATCACCATCGAATCAGAGTCTGCTTTGTTCAGCTGGAGTCGTCTGCTCTGATGCTGGAAAACACTCAAAACATCCAGAGTTGAGCAGAAAAATTGAAAAAATGGGAAAATAGCTCTAAAAGCTCCAGTGCAGAATTTTCCTTTACTTGATGGGACATGGTCAACAGACAGTGATACAGCCTACACAAAAACATACAGTGAATAATTTAGAAACAATGGATTGATATTTATTCCAGATAGTACATGTGAACTAGTATCATTGTTATAACCATGTTTTTCATAATCAGCGATCAGATGAAAACATTGAATGCAGCACAGACCAGTCACAGAAACCAAACTGTGTCAGACATTAGCAGTCGAGATGCTGAGGAATCATGACACACCTGCACACAGGTGATCAGAAACCTGAATGACCAGGTTTCTCATGTTCTGTGTAAACACAAAGAAGTTCACAACCAGGAAATCCATGCGTGCACTCAGATCAAAGGGCTGAGCAACTGTACATACTGGGTTTATTCCAGTATTTTTGCATTAAGTTTTGGATAATTTGGGGTTATCAGAGGGAGATGTCTGTTGTTCAAACACTGATGTAATTCTTTCTAAAATACACACACACACACATACACACACAAAGCGTCATATATACAGTCCACTGATAATAGAAAGCAGACACTCACGCCTAACCTGGCTGAACAGTTCCTTCCTCCTCCCTGATTTGCATTGGTTTTACATTTTCAGGAGCTGCAGTGAGATGTTGTGTTTCTCTGTGTGTGACTATGAGTGTGTGTTTTGCATACGACTGAGTACAAAAGTTATTATGCTCTGTGTGTGTGTACGTGTGCGTGTGCATGCTTTCCATACTGATGATCATGATTTATAGCAGTGACATTTAAATGAAGCTGGAGGACAAATTCGCCTCAGCAGGGATAATGTCATTCTCTGTTTCTGTGCTTCGTGCTTGCACACCGACAGAAGAAGAAGACGGACGTGTTTTTCTTTGACTCTGACATAAACTTTTTTTACACAGCAGTTTTCAGTAATGACATAACAAAGGCCACAAAACATTTTTCTTACATCGTAGACACATCTGTCCTTCATTCTTAGACTGCATGCTAACCAAGGTTGTGTGTGTGTGTGTGTGTGTGTGTGTGTGTGTGTGTGTGTGTGTGTGTGTGTGTGTGTGTGTGTGTGTGTGTGTGTGTGTGTTACAGGGTTCTGCACGCAGATGGAGTGTGTGAGAGTGTGTTGTACGGCCTGCCATTGGTGATCCGCCCCACCACCTGCTGGCAGCTGGACTGGGATGAAATGGAGGCCAACCACAACTTGTTCCACGCGCTCTGTCACATTCTCAGGGTGTGTCGCATGTGTCAATTGTCATTTAGATTTTAGCAAAAAGTAAATAACTTTTGAAACAACATCTGACAACAACAAAACTATTGCATCAACTTCTGAAAAATTCATATCACTGTCACAGTGTAGATCAGACTGTTTCTGCCTTTTGATTATTCCTGGATAAGATTTTCATTCTGCCAATCTATGTGTGTTTGTTTAATGTAAATCAGTTTTTTTTTTTACCATTTAACAAAATAGCTACTAGGATAGTATTAGTCACATTTGTTTTAAAGGAGCCATTTGTAAGTTTTGTTATTGCTGCATGGCCAACATTAGCATTAACAGCTGTTTACTCACAAGTCTTGGCAAAACCTTCAGTAGTTGTTGCATTGTCAAGACAAGAGGTTATAATACGACCTCTGAGCTGCGCTACATCTTCATATACACATACAGTGACTCTGTATCGGAAAGTACAAGACAGGCTGACCGGGCCAGACCTAGCTGATTAGCATGCTAACTTTAGTAGAAGGAAAGAAGTGATAGAAATAGAAGGAATGAAGTTTGATGCTGAACTCACTCGTTTTTTCTTGACTGTTAAATAAACAGCTGTTAATGCTAACGTTAGCTTTGTAGGAATAGAAAAACATACAGATAGCTCCTTTCAGAGTAGAATAAAACAATCAAATCAAATTATTTATTGTAAAAACATTTATGCTATAGCACTCATAATCAAAAAATCAAGCAACTTTACATTCATTTTGTTAAATATAAATCAGGTTTGATAAAATAAAGATTTTAATCACGCTCTTCATCTTCCTCTCTCTCTGACTGACTCTCTGCAGCACAAATGAACGACAGCGTTTGATGTGAGATTTGTTTCTCCCACTTTCAGAGTCGTGACTTGTTCCTGCTGCTGCAGGTGGAGCCTGCCCAGAGGTCCACAGCTGGAGGCTCAGGTCTGTGTGTGTGTGTGTTTGTGTGTGTGTGTGTGTGCGTGCGTGTGGGCGCACGGACATATGAGATTGTGCACTCATATGCCCTGTGTGTTTGTGCACGACACAGGTGTGTATTCCCACTACGTCCTCCAGCCGTCCCCGTCTCTCTCCCTCCTTCTGAAGCCTGTGGTCTCTAGAGAGTTGCTGCTGCCCTGCTCGCTGCCCATCTCAACCCAGGACCCTGCACCTGACGCCGTGCAGACTGTACAGGTAAGGTAACCTTTGTTTGTTATAAACAAAATGCAGAAGTAGACAGAGGCATCCAGAACTCAGAAGCGGAAACAGATCAGTTTTAATCACCGTTGTGTGCACTGATATCAGGAACTGAGTATGAGGATCATCCAAAACTATAAAACCAATTTAAAACAATTCCTTATCATTCTACTGAGTCAGGTGATTCTCCCTTCTTCTCTGGTAAAATTATTGTTACCAAAAATCAATTTTGCAAGATGAAACTGAAGAAACTCAGACAGTTAAAGATTGTATAAGTGCTTAGATAAAGAAGGTGTTCCTGTGAAGTAGTGTTTGGATTATGGATGCTATCTACACCAACTCATCTGAATCAGAGTTCAAACCAATTACAAAAAAAAAAATCTCATCTGAAGATATATATTCATAGATACAGATACAGTACTCAGTCACACAAGGGGCATGAGATCACCTTTTATGTTGCAATGAAAAACAGGAATTTCTCTTAATGACTTTCCATTTTAGTTGTTGAGATGCTATTATACATCAGTGTATGTGTTTATAGCTGGTGTATTTGCATGTTAACAAAGTGTAAACAGTCAACACACATTTCGCAGTGCAGACATTAAAATGCGCTGGTTTGGTTGATGACTGTGTGTTCTCCGTCTCTCAGGGTTGTCTCACTCAGCTGGACGAGGAGTTTGTGTTCAACCCTCTCTCTCTGTGCAGTAACCTGTACCGGCACCTCAGGAGCAGAGGCCTGTTCTCACAGCCACGATACCCTTACAGGTGAGCAGGCACTGGGCTTCAGGTCAATGAGGAGGCGGATAATAACCAATATAATGCAAAGAAATCTGAGCACCCCGTATGATCATTTTAGAACAGTGGACTATATTTATGGATGTAGATGTAAAAGAAGACCGATGATGCTGTAACTGAACAAGTGATGATGATGACTTAATGGAGGATGATTATGATAAAATCTCTGGTGATAATAATGATAGTGTAACGTGTGAGGATGACAGTATGATGTTTGTGATAATGTATGATTATAGATAGAGTTTATAAAGATTTAATGATAAGGACACAATGATGACTATGATGACGACAGCGACGATAATGATGATGATGATGATGATGATGATGATGATGATGATGATGATGATGATGATGATGATGATGATGATGATGATGATGATGATGATAATGATTGATCCCAGGCTCCAGCCAGCAGCTGTCGTCAGAGACCATCCTCAACCACCAGAGGGCACTAAAACAACAGGCGGCAGACAGCGTGGGCAGGTAAACACAATGGCTTTATCACAGTGTAAAGGTCATGATGTGCTGATTATATATGTGATCAAAATGATTATAACATGAGTGAAGACCAATGTTACAGCCGAAAGCAGGAAGAATATTTCATTTTATATCGTAAACCTCTTTGAAGTTGTGTACAGAGAGGTTGCAATTTCCTCGTCGCCTCTAACGTCCCTGCTCACTAGATGGCAGCACTCTCTACATGCAGTTTAATGCTACTGTAAATACATAAAAACACAAGCACAAACTTGTTCTTAATATAAAAGTTTATTCTCTGAATCTTAATTTTCATGCAATTGAAGGTAGTTGTTGATATGTCTGAGGTCATCTTATCTCAGTTTACCTCTAAACAACCACAACATTCACAGCAACTGTTCTCTCTGTGTGTCCTCTGGTGTAGTTTAGATAATCAGACATGACCTCAACATGCAGTGTTGGCACATTATAACCAGATTCTTTACTTAAGTAAAAGTAAAAAATACTCAAATACTATCACAAGTAAAAAATCTTGCATTTAAAATCACACTCCAGTAAAGGTACAGAAGTATAATCAGCTAAACTGACTTAAAGTATTAAAAGTAAAAATATTTGTTTGCCTGTGACTGTCATAATAAATTCTGTGTGGTTGTGGTTGGTTGAGGTGAAGCTAGTTTTAATTACTTTATATAAAATCAGGTCATTTATAGTCCAGTGGTTCTACAAATAGGGGTCGAGCCCCTCCAACGCATCACATCATGAGATGATTAATAGGAAGGGAAAGAAGAAACAAAGAAAGTTCTGCTACATATAATTACCAATTTGGTGGACTTTTCTCAAGTCTTTGTTTTCCGTGACACATTGGATCAATTGAAAGGTTATTTAAGGTTATTTAAATGAAACCATGTGCGAGGTTTAGTGGGAAACGTCTCCTCAGTTGAAGTGCTGACAACAGACATATAGACATCTGAAACCTGACAAGGCGCCACAGACTGATTTGATGTTGGTCAAAAGCTGAAAAGGTCAGAAACAAGTGGTTAAGCCTTAACCGTGTTTTATGTTTTATAAACTCATGTTTTTTTTTATTGGCCAATTTTAATCTGAGAAGTAACATGGAATCAGTTCAGTCAAATAAATGTAGTGGAATAAAGATATAATGTTTGTCGCTGAATTGCAGAATAAGTATCAAGTAGCATAAAATGAAAATGCTGAAGTAAAGTGCAAGTACCTTTGAATGTGCTTAAGAACAGTTTTTGAGTAAAAGTACTGATAATAACACAAGAACTATCATGCTATATGAAGATGTATGTGGAAAAATGAATAGTTGGAGTAGAACTTGGTATTAAAGTGTTAATAGAGGAAGATGATTATCTCACTGAGTCAAACAATTAGTGAATGTTTTTAACCTGAAACAGATAATCTTCATTCATTTCTTTTATCTTAGAGTTTTCATAGTGAGTCATAAATAGTGATACATTTATCTGTCTTGTCAGAACTGTACTTTCTGATCTCATGAGTTTTTTTTTTCAAACAGTTTTTGCAATCACAAAATCCCAGAGGTTTTACACTGACTTGCACTTGTTACATGATTCATTACCAAAATTGTTAAAATAAGAAGTTTCGCTCCAGAAGTCTGTAATAACTCAACCACTGAAAATATGTCAGTGAATATACCTTGCAGTGTTTTCATAATAATTTTTTTGGGGGGAGTAAGTGTCCCATTTTTCACACATGGAGAATGTCTTACTTTAACATTTCATCCATCCATGCCATTTTGTTAACACCAACTGAAACCTGCTGTGCCCTGAGAGTATTTAGCTGTTGGCAGTATGACTCATTAGGGTTGATAAGGCTGCTGACATGCAAATAGTTCACTACAGTGGCCAAACACAGAGAAAACGTTCTTCTGCTCTGCTTGTGTTTTGTTCTGTTCTTTGTTCTATTCTTTATCCGCTGTGGTAACCCTTAACCTCATGTTTGGATTTGTCTATACAAGCACTCTATATCTGTTAATGTCTTCTTCCTCTTTTTTTTTTTCTGTAATTCTGTATCTCTCTTTTTTCCACCTCCTACAGAGCCTCAGCCTCCTCCTCTCTTTTATCTCACTCTTTCTTTTCTTGTTTCTTAGGAATCAAAAAGCCAGACTCCTCTTCTCTACTTTATCATTCTGTCAACTTTAAAATACATTTATTTTGTGTTTAAATTTTATTCTAAGTAGCAGTAAATAAGTGCTTTCAAAACCTATAAATACGCTTGATTTTGAAATGTAAAGTGTGTGTCATCTCTGTTCAGCCACAAAGCCAGGGTCGCCATCTGGGAACACACAGCAAGGTCAGGGCCACCGTGGCTCCGATGCCCTCTTCCTCCTCCCACCCCTCCTCCTCTTCCTCCTCTCTGGGACCTCCTCCTGCCAAGGCCTCGCGTCCGGCTCTGACGCTCCTCAGCAGCAGCAGTGGAAGCCGCCGGGCCCCGGCCCCTTCTCGTCACGAGGAAGACGACGATGACTCCATGGTTTTATAGTCAGAACAACTGTAGGGTGAGTCGAAGAAAGTGTGCCGAGATAGCAATACAGTGACAGGAGGGAGAGAGAGAGAGAGAGAGAGAGAGAGAGAGAGAGAGAGAGAGAGAGAGAGAGAGAGGAGACGATGAGTCACTGAGAGAAGAGAGAGAGACGAGATCGACCGCGAAGAGCACAGATGAGAGAGCAGAGCACGAAGCCAAGTTGAAGTACATTTTCTTAACAAGTCATTTAACACACACACACACTTTGAAATCCCAACCTGTCACTTCAAAGGGCTTTCCAGTGAGAAAGTGTAGCTAAGTCAGCGCACACACAAACACACTCACACACACACGTTTGGCTAATCGGTCTCCATCGTAAAGTTTGTGAGTAATCAGACAGCTCACAAAGGCTTTAATGACACACACTAATTTACATGTAAGTGTACACAACACACACAGTCACATACTGTGAACACACTGCGAACACACACCTCATTTGTGCTGCACCCTGGGTGGTTACAGCTTCTCTTCATACTTTCATCTCTATTTATTGTCACCACACGAACAGCATTTGCTAGATGTGAATTTAACAGGCCTCGGTGTGTGTGAGAAAGAGAGAGAGAGAGAGAGAGAGAGAGAGAGAGAAAGGAAAGTTTCAACTCACTTCCATCTTAGATCGCTGAGGCAGCAAAACTTAAAAGTCACACACCATAAACAATGAAAAAGAAAGAGAGAAGATGAAAAAAAGGGAAACAGCGGGACAATGGAAGCCTGGAAGTGTCAAACAACAGAGGGAAGGAGCGGAAAGTAAGGAGAAACAACAGAAAAAGACAAAAGGCGGGTGACGAGGGAGATCAGAGGGAGATTAGAAGCTGATGGGTGTGTAAAAAGCATTGTGTGCATGTTACAGCACACCCACTAACACACATGAGCACACACAGTATAACAGAAAGACTCAAAACAGAAAGAAAGCAGTTACCAAAATACAACTGAGGCATAATGAAGCAGACCCCACTGCAGCATTAATACTATAGTGACTTGAAGACAAACACACACATATGCACATTCCTTCTCCATTTTGCCCTTAAGTCCCGCTCCGAACACAGCTTCACTGTTGTAATGAGACAGAGAATAAAGTAGCAGACAGAGGGGCCTCTCTGCTCTCTTTCACCCCCACAGCCTGTTCCCTCTCTGGGGGTTGAAAGGCAACGAGAAGGGGGGTGGACGGACGGAGAACAGAGTCGAGAAAACTGATAATAAGAAAAATCCCCAGTATGTTCTGTAAAATAGTGAACATGTCTCGCACAACTCTGCAAGGAAGAAAAGTTTCCATTGAGTGTGTGCGTGCGTGTGTGTGTTGTGTGTGTGTGTGTGTGTAGGGGTCACTTCGAGTTCATGTACTGTCATTGGCACTGGTTGAATTCTGCACAACATTTACAAACATAAAGTCATGTGCTCATACGCAGATATTGGTCATTACACACATTCACTATTATTCATGTATTCTTCGTCGAGGAGCTCTGTCATCCACACACACTCACACACACTTACACACACTCACACTTAATCAGTCTCCCGCCATTCCACCCCCTTGTTGAACCTTATAACATTAGGGAGAACCCTATGGCAAATGACTTCATGACGTTGTGATGTTACAGGACTTCCGCATTCACAAATTACAACCACAACGATGCTTTTGTCCCTGGAGAGAATTCAACTGGACATCCAAAACTACCCACTGACATTTTACCCACTTCTCCGTCTCCGTCCTTTCCCCCTTTCTCTCTCGCTCAGTACTTTCTTTTTAATCCTCACGAGCTCAAGCTGAGTCAACGTGTTTGAATTTCATACACTTGTTCAAATAGAACAACAGCAGCTTCTCTGTCCCCAAAAAAAGGTCAAAGTCAAAGTTCCCCTGTTTGACCTAAATGCTATCGGACACACTCCTCATTAAATGTCACAACTGTAAGAGATTAATGCGACGTGACCTGCAGTAACAGGGGTGTAATTGTTTGTGTTTGCAAATTCATTCAGAGTTGAATCTGACAGAGAGTGTTGCATTACTCAGTGTTGCGTTTTATAGGTTTTGGCAAGTTTGCCGCCCATTACAGCCGTTTTTCTTTCTAAGAAAGTTCTTTGTTCATTGTTTTTATGACAAACATCCTTGTCTCATAGTGTTGACTCATTAGTGTTCAGCTTTCATGTTGTGTGTGGAGTGTTATTAATCTAGAAAGGAAAATGACATGGATCGGTGTCTTTTGTTCCCACTGTGAATTTATACCAGTTGGTATTTCAGCAGCTGTTTGAATGCAGGATCTTGTTCTACTCATTTATTTATATATATTTATTAACCATCTGATTTGTATTTAACACTGTTCATTACCTGTTACTAAATAAAGTAACATTTCTGTTCTCAGTTTTTATGGTGGCTTTCCTATAAAGGGAAGTAGCCTGTGGTACCTTTATTCGAATCTAACCACCATCTCTCATCCACACAGTGCTACCAACAGTACAGAGGCACTGTGTACAACTGTCTCAGACTGGTAGCACGGTGAAAAGGTACATGGAAATGAATGTATAATGTATTTATTGATAGATGAGACTAGCATCTTATACATGGCTAAGGTCTAATCATCAAATGAAGGTTATTTGTTTTCATTCAGGCAGACAACTTTAAACCCACATCATTTTCAACACAAAAATCCTCTCAGGAAAATGCACACAGCAAGCTCACCTTTATTTAAACCTGTGGTGTTGGTGGGAGGATTATCATGACATCTGTCACCTTTAACCTTTTACCACCTTTGCACCATTCTCTCTGAGTCCCTGTCCCCAGGAACCCCTCAGTGCCCCAGTTCAGTTTTTCACCTGTGATTTCACTAAAAACACACACACTTGGTACAGATGAGGGTGGTGAGCAGAGATATCTTTCGACTTGAAGCTTGAAATGTGCTTCAATCTGTCTACACCATCACAAAACACATTGTTAACACTTGTGTTCACATGTCCTTTGTGGGCAAAAAGGCAATAGAATTTCTTTCACAACATAGGTGGAGGCCTGAGCTCTAACTATGTTGATGTTATCTTTGCTGAACTTCCCTAACAGCAGCTGGTTAGCAGAACCACCATTATTATTATCATCAGCTATAACATGAATATCACCAGTCTGCTAAATATTAATTATAGGCGTACTGCAAACATTAGATATCTCTGGTTGCACTAGGACAAATGTTACACAAAAATACCACAGCACAAACAAACTCAGTAGCTATCTCACTGTGACAAAGTGCATTATGCAGGGACTCAGGCAAAAGAGATAAGTGAGTTTAAAAGCCATTGCTTTCGCTTCCGCTGAATGAAATCCCTCATCACTTTTGTCCTTTAATAAACAGAGGTTCCTGAAAAATCACCGACGATGTTTCCTTTTCGCCAGTATGTTACACCCAAAGACTTCAGCATTTTTAACCAAGGAAGAGTTTTTTTTTCAAAGTATCTATTTTTTGTGCAGGAGACAGTTTGTCTCCTACTTTTTAAGTTTGGATTCATAATTTCCTGAGGGTGTAGAAATGACCTTTCACTGAACCATTTTGTCTGATTCTGCAGACAGTGAACACACTGTGTTTATGTATCTCAGTCAGAATGGAAAGGACACTTTGGCTGATAAGCTCTGTGTATTCTTATACATCGATTTCTTGGCTTCCTCTTTCTCGAAACTTCAAGCATTTGATGCAGTTTACTAAAATATTTTTGCTATTTCTGAAAGTTTTTTGCATTTTTTCCATTCTGAACTCAAAAAAAGATCTTTAGTGGTCTGTGCCTGTCGAAAAAGTGCAATAACATTTCTTCTGTGTCTCATCAGTGTCTATATCTGAGTCAGGATAATATTAGTGCTGTGACTTCCTGCTCTATTCGCAATGTTCCATTTCCTTCTTTGCTGCAATCATTAGCACAGAAAAAAAACTTGGTCAGGTTCTCTGTCTCACAAACTAATGGACTGTCTCTTTCCTGTAATGGTCGTCACTGGCCACATGCAGACTCTAATACTATACACACAGATTAGCGGAGCAGGAACACAACAGTGCAAGAGTCACAATTCATGTACAGGTTACAGGCAGAGAATTCCTCTCTCAAAAGCTGCTCTGGGTAAGAGCAGAAAGAGGAAGTGCATCTTTTGGAGGAGGAAGCGAGGAGGTGAAGTCAGGAAGCTGCAGGACCTGCGTTATAATCCTACTGACACAAATCTGAAAGGTCTCTGCTCCTACACAGGTCGAGAATGACTAGAAAAATGATTTTCTTATTTGCATGTCTCTGAGACAAAAGCATTAACATAAATCACACTGAAGACCAGCTGCTGTCACCAAATCTGGTCAAGAAGTTAAGGACTAAAAAGTATGAAATTATAAACTTGGTTTGATCTGAGAGAACCATTGTGCCCATTTTGCAGAGCACAATTTGCTTTTTTTTGTTCTTTTTTAAAGCCACTGGAACATGCTGAAAGTGAAAAATCACCTCATCGTCACACCTAACCTTTACACACACAGGCCTTTGCACAGGCATCCCTTTTATTTTCTAGGCTACAGCAAGAAACTGAATGAGAAACTCTCATTTCCTTTAGAAAGCACTGGGAGCTCTGACGGAGTGAATGAAACTCTCCCTCAGACACAAGACTCAATGGGTTTGCCCACGCAGAGCTAAAAATAAAAGCTGGTGGTCTGTTGAGTCAAAGAAAAGAGTTTCAGGTGTGTCTGAAGGCAAAACACACGAGTCCTTATTGAATGTGCTCAAGAGAAAGGTCTGTCATGTTTCATGTACCAGCTTACATCAGATTGAGGAAATGCAACTGGGTCCCACCTTTTTGTATATACATGTATGTAAATGTGCGCAGCTGTCAAGTGTGAAGTGATCTCAGCATGTCTGCATGATAGGAAATTTTAAGTAATTGCACTGACAAATATCATTAGATTTTTTGATATTTGCTGTTTAAAAAAACCAAATGTTTTCTTTCAACATAGCAGCTCTTAAAGATCATTTTTATTATGCTAATGCATTAACAGGCTTATCATATAACACATAGTTCCAGATGCCAATATGGTAACTATGTCATGAAAAAGTCATTAGGAATCTTAGCCTGATGATCAGTTCAGGCTAGGCATCAGTTTTCCACAATTAAACATCCATCCATTATCTATACCGCTTATCCTTTTAGGGTCGCTGAAGGGTTGGAGCCAATCCCAGCTGACATTGGGCGATGGCAGGGTACACCTGGGTTTATATTAAAACTCCACAAATTAATACTATTACAATATCAATGGATCAATCACTATGCATAACGTGAAAAGTGTCACCTGTAGTGATGAACGCAAAGAGAATGATCAATCAACTCTGCAGTTTCACTCAGCTAGCAGAAGTGTTTTTAACATCTTTCAGCTCATTGTTTTGGTTTTAGGGTCCACAATGTGTTGTTGTTTTGGTTCTGGTTCAAAATTAACTAATGCAGGTCTGACGGTGCATTCTTAGACAAAAAGTGAAGTGCCTTTTCGCCTTGAGTCATTCAGGCAAATTTTACCACTGGACTGTTTGTGTTTATTTGACCCAAACATCATGTACAATATGTACAAACTGTACAGAAATTAGCTATAGGCTAGATAGCAACAGATACACCAACTGTGCCTCCCCGTGAAGCACCTGTTTGTGTAATGCCTAGTTTCAGTGCCTCTTGTTGTTGGGCTGATCCTGTTCTCTTTCAGTAAGTCTGACGTGACCTTTTAAAAAAGACCAAACATGAGACCTTGACGGGAAGAAGACAGTTACAAAAAGTTGAGGATAGGCAGAGTAGACGGCAGGAAGACTGTAATATATTAATAGTCAAAGATTGTGTGTGTGTGTGTGATAACTGCATGTAGAGACCTCAAACCTTCAGAGACCTCAAATCTGCAGATAAAACTGTTTGGCTAAAGATAGAGTCCTGTGGCTAGAAACAGCGTGCACACACACACACACACACTCACACACACACACACACACACACACACATGCAAGTTGAGTTGTGTCTGTCACATTAAAGTCATTGCATCTATCTGTCAGGAAGTGGCTTTTGTCTCCTTTTTTTTTTTTAATTAATCAAGATGTCTCCTCCTGTTTTAATCCACTGTTGATACCGTGTGTGTCTGTGTTGTGTGTGTGTGTGTGTGTGTGTGTGTGTGTGTTCTGCAGCAGAACATTAAAGGACTTCCTACTGATGTGACATTTCTCCAAAACCTGAGAAAACTCAAAGGTTGATCTGAAACTATGAAGTGAGGTCCCTGATATGCTTTCAGTATGAGGCTACCACACACACAATCACACAGGAATGCACGCCAGGAGATATGGTGCAACACATTCATACATTTCACAAACTGACACCCTGATACCATAAGCAGAACACACTTGACAGCAACAGGCCCGCTTGTACATTTTCACACATAGACTCGTCTATAGCTGTCAAACACACACACACACACACACACAAACACACAAACACTTTTATCAGGCAGTCAGTTGAAATGTTCTGCATATACATAAAAGGTCAAAGCAGCTGATGAGAGAAATGTGAGGAAGGAAAGAGGTGACAGAAAGTGAAGAGCAGCTTTTGGTAACAGGAATAAGATCTGAACCATTAAGAGTTTGAAAGGCAAGTTTGGTTTTATGAGGTTCCAATCAGTATGTTATGCCAATGAATGATTCAAGTGGTATTTAAAATAGAAACTCTACTGAAAGCTTTTAAACCATAATGAGACACAAAACTCTCAAATGAAGCACAAACACTTAAAAAAAAAAACATTGTTTCTAAGAGCAGAAGTCATTTCAGGTTAGTCACAGTAGCAGCCACTGAAGAAGCACTTAGACTCAAGGTTTCACTCTCACAGCAACATGCAGTTCACTTTATGACCAGAATTTGGTCAAAGTCTTCAGCTCACACAAACACACACACACACACACACACACACACACAGGCTGACTGTAAATGTGTAAACAACTTGTTTTGGATATTCCAACAGGGAAGTGTTGAAGCATAACAAGAAGCAAATGTTGAGAGCATGAAAACAGTACCATCTACTGTGTGTGTGCGCCTGCGTGCGTGCGTGTGCGTGGGTGCGTGTGCGTGCGTGCGTGTGTGTGTGCGTGGGTGCATGTGCGTGCGTGTGCATGTGCGTCTGTGTGTGTGTGTGTGTGTGTGTGTGGGTGCGTGCGTGCGTGTGTGTGTGCCCTTTCCCCACTGTTCCTATGTTTTGTTTTTTTTTTCAATGAGTTCATCCGGAGTTTAATGAGAAAGACAGAAGTTTGTCGTCGCTCTTTTTCTGTTTTTCTTCCCCTACTCTGTCTGAAAGAAAGGGGTGGGGGGGTGGGGGGGGCAGAGTTAGGAAATTTACCCTCAAACTGCAATTCAGTCACTTGTGGAGAAGTTTCCTGTGCAGAAAGTTCTCCAGCAGCAGGTGGGGAAATAAAGACAGAAAAAAAGAGAGGGATAAATACGGATGACGGGGATAAAGAGCAGCAGCAGTGAAGGGAACAGTCTGTACCTGTTTGTAAGCCAACCAGACACAGACAGGTTCATCTAGCCAGCATTCATCATGTCAGCATCTTTTTCATCTGTTTTCTCCTTCTTTACGTCCCTTTCTTTTCTCCTTCCTCATCCTCAGCTCAGGATAATCACCCACATGTTCCCCTTTTTCTCTGCTGCGTTCTCCAACATGTCAATTAACTGTTTTTTCCCTCTATCTCCCCTTTTTTCCCTCCTCTTTCCATCCTGTATTCCCTCCCTCGTCTAACGGTATCTCTCTGCAGTTAAAATGCACAGCGTGTCCGACGCAAACCAGTCGCCATTAACTGTCGCCACAGCAACCGAACAACAGAATTAATGCAGAGAGGGAGAAAGGAAGTAAGAACGTAAGAAAGAAAGTCTTTGTTTCGTTTTCGCGGCTCAACTTTAACGGTGTGATTAAGTGGTTGGAAACCGACTGAAACAACAAAAACAGAGCGTGGCAGAGGGAGGGAGGTGGAGGATGAGGTCAGACTGTTTTACTGTCCCATTTAGTCCAGAACAGAACAGAACAGAACAGAACAGAAGTCTTTTAAACGCAAAAATCTGTGTCTGATTGGGTCATGATGAGACAAACACACAGAGAGGAAGTAGTGATGCAGCATTTAACAGAGTTCTCCTGTGTACAGATCCACTATTGAGAAATCTTTGTTTTGTTTTCTGAGCCATATTTATTATTAGTTATAATTACAGACAGCACAGCTGTTTGTGACACATACACACACATACAGTCTTGACACATTGAAGGGGATTGATTAGTTTGATATTTAGTTTATCTGTACATAGAGACAAAGGATTCAATAATATTATCTTGTGCAGGTAATTCAGTGGCCCCATGAGGACCTTGTGACCCTATAGCCCCTTCATGAGCCACATATGTCCCAGATGAGGTCTTTAAGTCCCACTTTTCATGCTTACATCAAAACAGTAGCAACAATGTTTTTCCATTTAGTGGATCCTAAAATGCAACCATGTTGCATATTAGTGTCCTGGGCTGAAAATGTATATCTCCCTGTTTTGCTTGGATAAAGATAATCAATCAGTCCAGAAAACATAAACAGAAAAATTCCAGTTTGTTTTGGTAAACTCCTAGAAACCAAAGATACTCCACACCAGTCAAACAATAACTCCTCGTTGTCACATTGTCTCATATTGCAGAGAAACTGAAAAGCAGCAGTGCAAAAACATGTTTCCCAGTCACTTCATAAGCATGGCAGACTTTTAGAAAAGAGGAGCCAAGCCGCTCTCTCAGCTTGTTAAAGTGAAGCCTGTAGGCCCAGCTCCTTTTGGCAAATCCATACCGTTTCTGTGTGTGTGTGTGTGTGTGTGTGTGTGTGTTCAAGTGAAGTGCCTGGCTCCAACCACACTGTGGCTTGGTACACCAATTATGGGTTTGACCATGCAAACACTCACTCTCTCTTTCTCAAATCCACACACACACACACACACACACACACACACACACACACACACACACACAGAGGGTGGCCCTACAATAGTTGCACAAAACTCAGTCATAATGTGGTTTTCTCATAGCTGTGAGCTAATCCACTCCAAATGAATCCACTGTCTCAAATAATTATTCCAGTCCACAGATGGAAAAGAGAAAATGTGTTCAGTCCTCACAAAAACTCCAAGAATAAAGGCGTCAACCAAAGGTTTGCTTATCAGCATCATCTTTCTCTCCTCTTTTTAAAAAGGGCAGTAAACGTTTCATTCCAGTCCATGTAGAATTAAAATGTCAAATATCTCCCAAGTTGTCATAGATGATATCAGGTGATCTCAGCTGCTGGTGGTGTTGGCTATACCACAAATTAGCGGGCAGGGGCTTCTGTTTAGACACTTTGCTGTACAGCTCCCTCTCCTCTCCTTCTCCTCCTCCTCCACCCCAAATGTTGTTGTTGTTGTTCACATTACTGCCAGGACCTCCATGTTTCCCAGGGGGCAGTGGCACCGGCTCCTTCCGACCAAAAATGCCCCTGCCCGGTTTGGGAGCAGTAACCGGTTTGGGCCCCCTTGGAGCTGGAGGATACAGAGTGCCACGGATCGGTGCGAGCTGCGGAGGAGAGTGTCTGTGGGACTCCGCAGGCTTCCCGTGGGAAGGGGTGCTGTAATTCCCCTCCAGTCCTGACGGGGCCCCCACCTCCAAACGGGCCTCGTCGTAAATGGTCATCCCTAAACTAGCAGGCAAGCTTGTGCTTCCTTTGGCGCAACCCTCTGGTTCATCATATATGTGCTCTGGAGGAGGACCAGGAGGTGATGAAGCCCCCTCTGCTTGGCCTCCTGGGGGCCGCCTGTTATTGTTCACTCCTCTTCCTCCCCCTCTTCCTCCCCCTGCAGCCCCGTTGAGACTCAGAGCGCTTGTTTTCTGGTTCAGCTCCAGGCTGATCCGGTCGTACACATGCGAGTACAGGTCTGGTGGCTTCCTGTGATTGGTGCCTGCGTGGTGCTGATCCCCTTGGACACCACCTGTTGAGGACTCATCTCCTACTGGTCGGAGGCGTGGGGTGGGCACTGGAGGGCTGGATGGGTTGCTGGATTGGTTCTGGCCCTTGATGCTGTCCACCGGGTCGGAGTAGAGGCAGTCAGCGCTGTGCAGAGGCAGGCGGACCGAGTCAGCTGGTTCAGAATAAAGACCTGCTTGTTCATCAGCTGAGGAAAGACCTTTTGCTGATGCCTGCCCTCTTGGAGACCGCGGAGGGGTCCCTCCTCCTACCAAAACCCCCAACATGGCTGGTGGCTCTGGTAAACTCCTGCCTTTAAGTCCTCCTGCTGCTCCACCTCCTTGCCCTCTTCCTCCTCCTCCTCCTCCTCCTCCTCCGTCTCCGCCCTCTCTCTTCCCAAGCACCCCATCAGCAGACCCCGGTTTGCTGCCGCCTGAATCGCCATCTGCCTCCCGACTGCTGCTGCTGCTGCTGTCACCACTTCCCGTCATGCCGCCAGGGTTGCGTATGTGCTGCAGCGACGCAGGGCAGTCGGGGTCGAAGTTGAAGGGGCAGCTGAGGTGGCGCTCCTCAACCAGAGCCTTCTGTGACTGGATGGCCTGGTCCACCAGCATGAAGATCTCGTTGCCTTGCTTGGTCTCAAAGGTGAAGTTGCCGGGGCCTGAGTCGCAGCGCCGACCCGCCTCGAAAGAAAACATCACCTGAAGAAAGATGCAAAGAAGGAAAAAGGAAATGGTTAGAAATGGAGTGAGGGACAAAATAAGGAAACGTTAACAGTGCTGAATACGTGTCCAAGTCCGTGTGACTAAATAAATATATACAGAGTTGTCTGAAAGGCCAAAATGGGGCTGAAGTAATGGAAGCTAGTCGCAGAAGTTCCTCCACTCTTTCCCAGTCATCGCTCATTTATCATTTTTCTTGGCGTTAAAAAAACGCTTGCTTGTTTTTTCCACTGAACTTTTCAGTTTTGTTTATGTACGGAAATGGAAAGCAGTGAAGCAATACAATATATATATATATTTGTGATTGCGTCACTTCATCTGTGTATGTGTATAGAATTGAAATGAAGGAAATGGAAAGCATTTCCGTTCCGTATATTTACAATACTGTATATTGTTTATATATAACAATATATATATATATATCAATATATATATATATACCAATATATATATATATATATATATATATATATTGTATTGCTTCACTGCTTTCCATTTCCGTTCATTTCAATTCTATACACATACACAGATCAAAGAAGTTATATCTTCTTTTTAACTTGCCTGTGCATATCATCAAGTTAGTATCAGTCTTGACAAATGCATAAATAAACATCACATGTAGATAAACTCAACATCCTCTTTAAAGGTCATCAGTCATTTTTAGATCCTAGTCTCAAGCTTTGAACCAACAAAAAAAACGCAGACTGTAAAACTAAATATCTCTGACACTGAGGCTCTGACCACATGCACACACCATTATAAAAAAGTAATTTCAGCACTTCCTAACTATGATCAACCGTTGCAGTCTGGGCTTAAATTTAACACACCGAACTTCCCCTGCCTGAATTTGTTTTCAGGTCTCATCAGTCATTTCTGATCCCTGAAGAAAGGACATTGTGTCATTTCCCATCAGCACAGGGTTTATCAGTGCATCAGACACCCACCCGGTCTCTCCCATATCTCCTCAGCAGCTTATAGGGCCACACCAGGATATTCCTCTTGGTCTTTGGCTCCTTCAAGATCAAGACCTCATTTTCAGCTTTCAGCCAGTAGTTGCCCACCAGTCCGCAGCGCTCCGACGCCTCAGTACGCTGAATGCTCACCCAGAACTCGTTCACTTGCAAGGGGAAGATAATCAAAATTATCTTCTGCACTGCAACATTTTCTTGAGATCTTAAAATGATTTAAGACTAGACTGTTCTGTGTCCTTACCTTCCTCTCTGGAGTAGTAGATGAGGTTTTCAGACATCTGCAGGTCCTGGGGTCCTCCATTTGAGTCTGCAGCAGTACAGCTGCTGCCACCCCCTCCCTTTGGACACAGACACACAGAGAAACTGACAATCAACCAGCTGAGAAAGAATCAGTATTAGAAGTAAATAATTTGTATTCTTCACATTACATGGAGGGGTTTGCTCCCTCCAGTATTACCACTAAAAGGACAGAGGAGACCCAAAGAGAGATAGTGAGTGAAATAAAGAGTTGTGTCTCTGTGCCACAGAGAGTGAAGCGGATGGAGTCCTCCTCCTGGAAACTCCCTCCGGCTTCCTCTCTGCAAATGTGTGTTATGTTCATGTGAATGTGTGTAAGTGCACGCAATAGAAGTTATGGCCTGCATTGAGACTCCAGGGACATGTGGGAAATTTTTTGAGGACAGATACACAAATGCGAACACAGAGAATTAAACGTCAACCCCAGCTGAAAACTTAATTTAAAGCAGCAGTTCTTCGGTTTTTTTCTGACCAAAATAAGATTATTGTATTTCTTTGTTTCAATAGACAAAAAGACCACAGAGCAGAGAGAGTGAGAGCACGAAAAATACTTTGTAGATAGACCAAAAAACACACACACACAATGAAAGCTTGCACTTAAAAAACCTCACACATCCACTCATGTTTTAGTCACTCAATGCAAACACTGAATCATAAAGCAAACACACTGTACACACTGTGGCATTGGCCACCCTGTTTGGTGTGACACACTATCCTCATACCTGAAAGTTTGAAGAGAGGAAAAGTGTGGAGATACCTGAAAAGCGATGTCACACATGATATCCATCCAGTCTTTGGTGGCGTTCTTCTCTGCAGCAAACACGTGGGTCTTGTCATTGGTTTCCACGCAGAACGCTGACATGTTTTCTTTGGGACAGCTCTCCGTCAGCGCCGGCAGGATGGAAATGCACTCAGACAAGCGTATGATCTTCTTGTCAAGCTTCCTGGTTTTCTCATTGGACCCGCTTCCCGTGCCTCCACCGACTCCGCCACCTCCGCCCGAAGGTGAGTCGTAGAATTCGAGGCGGGCGATGCCATTTTGGCTGGCGGGGTACAGGACAAACCAGTTCTTCTTCCATTTCTAACAGGGGAAAAATAAATAAATGTTACAATGGCTAACATTTTTCATACTAGTACAGAATATGTGTAATGTGAAAGGTGTCAGTTACTTAACTATGCAGTTACCCTCATCTCTATGGAGCATTTTAGCATCTTTCAGACTATTGTTTTGGTTTTACATCCTACAATTGTAATGTTGTGGTTCAGTGTCATTACTCATTTATGTGTTGCAGGCAGCTGCCCAAACAACGCTGGTTCTCAACTAGCTGGTAAATTTAGCAGCTAAAGACACAGATTTTTCAGTTGGTGGAGACCAAAAGTGGAGCTAAAAGAAGGGTAAATACAGGTGGGCAGACACACAACTACGAATGAATGCTAATGTTGCACTGCATAATGTGTAAATAGGCAACATGTTGACCCAATCAACTTTATAAGGTGATCATACTGATCAATATTTAACTTAGTTAAAACTTAATTATTTTTTTCAGTTTGTGATATAGAAAAGAAAATTGCATGTAAGATATTATAATGTTTGAAAATCTGTCTTTGTCAAAATGATTTTTTTAAGTTTTTAATTTTCAGATATCAAGAGCATAATCTGTTATGTTTTCCTATTTTTACTTCCTTTTGAACTTTTCTATCTTTTATTCTTAATGTATTAATTTCTGTTGTGTGAATGGCAACAAGCATTTTTGTTCCACCTACAGATGTGTTAAGAGCCTGGAAACCAGCTCAATAAGTACGTTTATGTTTATTCACTCTCACAGATCGGTCTGGCCCCCCGTCCTGTTCAGACAGATGTCCAGCTGTCCGGAGACAGGTCACAAACATTTATCTAAACTGGGCCGGGTTTGATTTGATGACTGACAGAGCAGCGTCGCTGAGGCATCTTCATTAACAATCAAGATGGCTGGCGCTGATGTGGAGAGGTCAGTTAAACACACTATGACAACAGTATTAAACAAAATGGACGGTATATTATTTCTAAAAGAAGAACAAACAACTGCAGTTACAGCATTTGTTGAATAAAAAGACGTGTTTCCCGTATTACTGACAGGATTTGGTCAAATTTTTATTTACCAACTGCCTCTACTCTGCGCTATGTCACGTTTCAATGCTCTGATTGGTTGTAGATCTATCCACTTGTGTCCAGAGTCATTTGGTCTGCGAGCAATGATAACGGCCATTAGAAATCAAAAACGAACCGAGAGGTTTCACACCCATTTGCAAATGGTCACAATGCTATTTCTGAATTTAAACTAAAACTGAAACTAGAAAAAACTGCGAGCGAAGGCTGGAAGAGGAGGACAGGAAAAAGAGGAGGCTGAAAACAGAAACATGAAACAGAAAATGTGATTCTCTGTCCTGACATTTTGCATGTGGTTTGTTCAGAGAGCAATAAGGAAAAGTTAAAATGTAGAGTTGGCCACAAATAATAAAAACTTGATGAGGAGAGAAAAGAAAATGGTAACGTTTGAAGTCAGCAGAAGATATGAGTCAAAATGATACTTCCGGGTCTTTCTCCTGCCTCTACTCTGCTGACTGAAGCTTCATGTAGGAGGCATGTGGTGATAAATCTACTGCAGTTTGACTCAGATCTGTTGCACACACCATCGTTTCCTCTACATTCAATCAGCAGCAGCGGACCACGGTTACAGCATTAGTCACCTAAAAAAGAACCATTTCCCCTCAAAAATCAAAACACGCACTTGTCTGGTTTTTACAATTTGATCCAAATAAGGGAAAGTTTAGTGCAACTAAACCTGGTACTCATCTGCACCCAAGACCAGAAAGAACCACAAAATACACACCCCTGTGAGCAATTACAGATTATATTCAGGATTTTAAAGGTTAAATTCAAATGATCTGATTCAGATAAACCTGAATCACATACACCTCATTCTGTTAGATCACTGGTTTAGGATGTCGAATGCATCTCAAGGAGTTATTTTGAAGTAACCATATGTGTTGTTTTGAGGTTTTGTGAACGAAAAAAAATGGAGATGAGATTTAAAAATAAATAAATAAATACTCTAGCTTCAGTAAATATCAAATTATAACTGCTAGGATTACATGTTTTCATTTATCTCCTAAGGTTAAATATCATACTTATGTTTTATGCCACGACCAAGTAATACATAACCTGACATATTGTGGATCGTTAAAAATATGACCTGCTCCAAACTAGGTGACAGCAGTGAGGAGGAAGAGTTAACAATGAGCTCTTCCTCCTCAGGGAACAAACACGGATATGACCAAACAACATGACACACAATACTGAACAATAAGTCGCACAGCAAGTGTATGTTAGACTCCAGATGTTCAGCGCTAACAATGGACATGATGACACACACGCCACATGTGAGACAATGTACAATCACTACAGAAACTAGTTTACATGTGATTATGGTAAAACTATATGAGACAAAAGAAGTGAACTTATTTGGTAAGTCCCCGTCATCCCGTGTACCATGTGGACGTACGTGTGTGTGTGTGTGTGTGTGTGTGTGTGTGTGTGTGTGTGTGTGTGTGTGTTGTTTTGCTGCCCCACATCACAATGCCTCATCTCAGCTATATTTCTTCAGTGTGTGTGTGTGTGTTTTCCCCTACATTCAGTGAGCGGAGCAGAATCTGCCTGACGGTCAGAGAGCTGAGCCTGTGACAGGAAGGTCAGCAGTTTGAAAGTCCCTGAAGCAGCAGGGAAAATCCAGCTAACGGAAGAAGAAGAACAACAACAACAACTACAGGTCCTCAAATGCTCCCTGATCAGTGAGCTTTTCTTTTTTGATCCAGTCTGTCTGAAAGTGACCTACAAGTAGCTGATAGGACCTATGTGTCCACTGTAAAATCAACGAACTGCAGCCCAATAGATATGATACTTTTCAGGCTGATCAGTATGGATATTTGTTGGTTGCTACTGGAACATGTCAACATATCTTCTATGAAAAGTCCCCACAAACTTTACAATTAAGTACTGAAGTCTGATAATGATTAAATTCTAACAGTTAACTTCACTCCAAATCCAATTCTTATAAACAGTATGAATAAATCTAACACAACAAACATATCTAAATCCTGAAATCCATAAACATACAGCCTATAAAAAGATGAGTTCCTATTTGCATATCTGCCAAGATATACTGGCTGAACTGGACAGTTATGTCAGCCTGCCAATATATTGGTCAAGCTCTAACAGCAAACATTGGCCTTGTCAGTGTTAAAGGCGGCATTCAGATCTTTTACGTCAAGAATCAATAGGGGAATAAAGAAATACAGTGCTGTTGCTTCATCTATGAAAATCATTTTTTGGAGCTGGTGCTGTTTTGTTTGTAAAATCTGAAGCTGTCAAATAAATGTAGCAGATTAAAAAGTGCAATATTTCCCTCTGAACTGTAAAGCAGTAGAAGTACAAACTAGCATTAAATAAAAATAAAATAAATACTCAAGACACAAGAATTATCCCTATATGTACAGTACTTAAATGAATATATATTTTTACTTTCCACCGCTGATGAACTGGATGAACTCTAACAACACATTAGCTCACCACCATCATCCACAGCATAAAAACATGAGTCAAGTGATTCATTTTGAAGGTGTAATTACGGTATTTGCATGATGGGCCTGATATAACTGTAGCCATGGGGCATATATGCTGCACAATCATATATCTAACCCTCATTTGTTAATATGCTGCAAAAACTGTGTGATAATTTCTACACGTCACAGTAACTAGAAAAGCAGAAATGACATGAAAAGACTAGAACAGAAGCTCATCCATGCCTGACAGCCAGCTTCATCAATTTTAAACACACACCAACTGCCAGAAAGGACAGGAAATGCGTGGGCCTGTCATCACGCGGGATTTTTCTCTGCTTCCTTCTTCTGCGTCCAGGTGTGTCTCAGTATTTTGCATGTATGTACATATGTGTACGTGCATCTGTTTGTATTGTTTTTAATATTCCCATGGTCCGTTCTGGACCATCTGTTGCTGTGCACAAGTGCATGCACGCATACATGCAGACTCTATTCAGTCAACAGAGTAACGTAATTGTGCAGTGTACACTTACAAGGCGTAAAGCACTAACCCCTGTTGCAATATGGTCCTTACGTGTGTGTGTGTGTGTGTGTGTGTGTGTGTTCCTGCATGTGAGAACCTGCTGCTCCATATAAGGCAAAAGACTGTTATCATACACTAATACACTGAGTGGAAATTATGCAAAAAAGATCATGACAAGAGAGGGAGAGAAACTTCCTCACTGATGTCCTGCCTGTTCAGTCGGCTATGATACAAGTGCATGTGTGTGCGCTTGTGTTTCTCCTTTTCACTGCTAAAACAATACACAGCCTTCAGTGATGGACTATATGTGCATCTAAAAAAACGACATTATTAAGGAAAGCAAAAAAGCTAAAAGAATGACAGACAGTTCAACATTGCTTTACATTCATTATGAGTTTTTTTTTTTTTTTCTTTTTTAACAGCTTCTTAATGACTTACTCTAAGTGTCACGTACATTCGTCTAGTGTCAGACATTAAAGGCATTGACATCGGACTTGAGTGCCCTTGAGCAAGTGTAACACACTATGGCTCCCATGCATATTTTTTATAAACTTGGAAGTTTTATATAATGCCGAAGGAATGCAAATACAAGAAAATGACGTCCGTCTTGCATCATCCAGTAGGGTTTTGAAAAAACATTACAGGCCTTCAGGCTAGCTGCGTTTGCTCTTCCTGCCTTTCAACACTGACGGTGACATAGTGGTGGTTTGACTTTCTTCTGAATTCATTTTGTACAAACAACAATGGCGATAGTGATTCTGTCATGTCTTCAAAGTTGTGTTGTTTTTCATACGATTGTCAGCGTGTTCATTTGTTTATGCATTTACATCACATTTTCATTTTGCAATCATTTCTCGTTGTGTTATTTTGAGATATTGTTATTTTGAGATATTGTATTTCAGAATAAGATTGAATTACCACAGAATTTGACTCCTTCCTTCGGGTTCATGTGTTTGCTCAAA